ATTTAGTTTCAAAAAAATTATCCAACGATTTACAGACTACTCTTTCCCCCTGTAAGTCAATGGGAAAAAGTGTTTCCGGGCCTGGCAACCAAAAGGAAGTGTAGTACTGACGTTTGGCCACCACGAATATTCTCATCAGAGTCCGGCGCACTTCCTGGGGGCTTGCTTTAATCATGCTGCTTTGATGTCTCTCAGGTGATTTACCTAAACAGGTGAAGGTGAAGAAACTGTCCAAACTGAAAACTCTGGACACTAAACCAGGTCCGTCCATGGTCATTCATATATATAAAAAACTGTTTTAGAAAATAATAACTATATAAATACATGTGTGCAGGGATCTTCACAGCGTTCAAGACCTTTCTACACAAAGACAAGATCCTGATTAAAAGACTGCTAAAGGTAAACTTTATTAATAGTTATCATTCAATATATTATGAACTATCACTAATGCTGAGCTGCGTTCAGGGGATCCAGAGGAAGAGGCCGTCGGAGGTCCAGAGCGCCATCCTGAGGAGACACTTGTTAGAGCTGACCCAGAGCTTCATCATCCCTCTGGTGAGCCAATCACAGAGCAGCATGCTGTACAATCACTTTGCCAGTTCAGCCAATCACAGAGCAGAAAGATGAATCCCTGTGTTCTTTCTGACAGGAGCGCTACATGGCCAGCCTGATGCCTCTGCAGAGATCTGTGTCACCGTGGAAGGTAAACAGGAAGTGACCTTGCGTTACTACTGTGTTGTGTCGATGTGTCGTGTTGACTAGTTGACTATGGGGGTTATTCCCTATCTTTATTCAAGAGCGTGGTATTTAAATTTGAGAGCATACTTTATGTATTTCCCTCAAACCCTGTCCTCGCACTCAAATAGTGCCTGCTTGCACTTTGCTCTGCTTCTGCTCAAACTGTACGCTTGCACTCAGATATATTGCTGCTTACAGATTTGTTCTGCTCTCAGATTTATTCTGTGCGCGCTCGAAACTTTTGTGCAACAATCCTGTCAAAATCCCTCAACCAATAGAAGACCAGGTGTCCTTGCGGGTGCGTTCGCTTTACTTATTACAGCGTCCCGTAAGGGCGGTTACTCTTTGGTTTATAAACTCCCGCCCTCCACGGCTTTATAACATAGCATGTACTGCACTTGTTTGATTTACAACTTTTTTTTTGGGGGGGGGGGGGGGGGGGCACAGTTAGTATACCAGCACCTTACATAATAGCTACGTTCAGTGGCGTACTGGGACTAAAAATCAGCCCGGGAATCTCGACCGGCCCTCGTTATCGCTAGTAAATTGTCAACGGGGGAAGGGGGGATTGCTAGTGAATTTTCCGACCGGCCCACTTCTTCCTCCAGACTGTTGTTCTGCTCCAGCACTGTTGTGCTACGGCTTGGTTCGGCGCGACGCGAAGCGGAGTGTGGACAACCCCATATTGTATAGATATTCGTATATCACGGCCTGAAGTGAGCTATTGCATTTATAAAACGGTTACCACGTGTGGCTGACAATGTGAAAGAAAAATACACACTCCAATTTAAATAGTTTTTATTATTAAATAATGATGTTCAAAATAAAATAGTCCCTCCGTTGCCTTCTGCACAAAACATAGTGCGAGGTGGTTGCTATGCAACAACAATAACAGCTAGAGAACATATTAGGCAGACAGCATTGTCGTCGTTTAGGTGCTTTTTTTTCTGGAGATAGGCACTTCTCAATCCACTCCTCCATAGTAAGGCCACCCCGGAGGTCGAAGTTAACCTTAAATGTTTCCATCTTAAGCTTTGTTAGTTAGTTAGTTAGCTAGTTAGTTTCGTGACGGACGTAATGTAACAGTTGTAAGTTACGGTACTCAGACGCGGAGGGATACTGATTTGTGAAAAGTAACTACAATTATTTGACTTCCGTTTTATACTAACTGTGCTTACCCCCCCTCCCCCCAAAAAAAAAGTTGTACAGCGAAGTGCAGTACATGCTATGTTATAAAGCCGTGGAGGGCGGGAGTTTATAAACCAAAGAGTAACCGCCCTTACGGGACGCTGTAATAAGTAAAGTGAACGCACCCGCAAGGACAACTGGCCTCCTATTGGTTGAGGGATTTTGACAGGATTGTTGCACAAAAGTTTCGAGCGCTCACAGAATAAATCTGAGAGCAGAACAAATCTGTAAACAGCAATATATCTGAGTGCAAACGTACAGTTTGAGCAGAAGCAGAGCAAAGTGCAAGCAGGCACTATTTGAGTGCGAGGACAGGGTTTGAGGGAAATACATAAAGTATGCTCTCAAATTTAAATACCACGCTCTTGAATAAAGATAGGGAATAACCCCCATAGTTGACGTGTTGTTGTTGTTGTGCAGACTCCCCCTCAGATCCGGCCCTTCAGTCAGGAGGACTTCCTGTTGTCTCTCGATGACACAGGGCCACAGCTGACCTCGGTACTGAAAGGTGATTGGCTGGGGCTGTACAGGTGAGGCTCCTTCATGGCTCTGAAACACAGGTAACCTTTACCTCCTGGGTGTGTGTGGAAGATATCAATTAAACTTCTCTGACAGGAAGTTCTTCAGGTCTCCGAACTTTGACGGCTGGTACCGCCAGCGACACCGAGAGATGACTCAGAAACTGGAGAGTCTCCACCTGGAGGTGCTCTGTGACGCTGTGAGTAAACACACCTGTACACACCTGTAAACACCTGTACACACCTGTCGGAGTATAAACACCTGTACACACCTGTCGGAGTATAAACACCTGTACACACCTGTCGGAGTATAAACACCTGTACACACCTTTCGGAGCATAAACACCTGTACACACCTGTCGGAGCATAAACACCTGTACACACCTGTCGGAGCATAAACACCTGTACACACCTGTCGGAGTATAAAAACCTGTACACACCTGTCGGAGCATAAACACCTGTACACACCTGTCGGAGAATAAACACCTGTACACACCTGTCGGAGCATAAACACTTGTACACACCTGTCGGAGCATAAACACCTGTACACACCTGTCGGAGCATAAACACCTGTACACACCTGTCGGAGAATAAACACCTGTACACACCTGTCGGAGCATAAACACCTGTACACACCTGTCGGAGAATAAACACCTGTACACACCTGTCGGAGTATAAACACCTGTAGACACCTGTCGGAGCATAAACACCTGTACACACCTGTCGGAGCATAAACACCTGTACACACCTGTCGGAGCATAAACACCTGTACACACCTGTCGGAGCATAAACACCTGTACACACCTGTCGGAGCATAAACACCTGTACACACCTGTCGGAGCATAAACACCTGTGCACACCTGTCCTCACCTGTCCTCAGGACCTGGTGACCTGGACTAAAGATAAATCGGAGGTGGAAACCGTCGACTTGATTCTGAAGCTTCGAGAGAAACTGGTGAGAAAATAAAACCTAAAACATCACCAGCTGTTCCTCATAAACAGGAAGTGTGTTTCTGACAGGAAGTGTGTGTGATTTTCAGAATAAAGCGCGCAGGCAGCAGCTGCAGCTTAAAGACGGAGTTTTAGACAAACTGGAAAACTTCATCGAGACGATCGTCACGTCTCTACCTGAAGAACTGAGGAGAGTACTGAGTACACACTGTACACACTGACTACACACAGTACGCACTGAATACACACAGTACGCACTGACTACACACTGAATACACACTGTACGCACAGAGTACTTTTATTAAGTTGTTTAGTGTTTAATGTGATGCTGTTTGTTTATTATTAGTTATTAATAAAGGTCTGATTTATTTATAAATATGTTTCCTGATTCTGTTGTATATCAGAGGGTTAGGGTCTCTCAGACCCCAGAGAATGTGTCTCACAATATTTATGAAGATATTGTAATTATAATTGTGTTCTTGTTTTTATTTTCTATTTATGGATTAAAATATGATGGTCAAATAATTTGGTGTACAAGTCTTTTTTACAGTGAAATCTGCAAGAGAGTTAGAGTTAGCAGGTGAGGGATAGCGTTAGCAGTTAGCTGGTGAGGGATAGTGTTAGCAGTTAGCTGGTGAGAGATAGCGTTAGCCGTTAGCTGGTGAGAGTTAGCAGGTGAGGGATAGTGTTAGCAGTTAGCTGGTGAGAGATAGTTTTAGCAGGTGAGGGATAGCGTTAGCTGGTGAGAGATAGCGTTAGCATGTGAGGGTGAGAGTTAGCATGTGAGGGATAGCGTTAGCTGGTGAGAGTTAGCATGTGAGGGATAGTGTTAGCAGTTAGCTGGTGAGAGATAGAGTTAGCATGTGAGGGATAGTGTTAGCAGTTAGCTGGTGAGAGTTAGCGTTAGCAGGTGAGAGATAGCGTTAGCAGTTAGCTGGTGAGAGATAGCGTTAGCTGGTGAGAGTTAGCAGGTGAGGGATAGTGTTAGCAGTTAGCTGGTGATAGATAGCGTTAGCTGGTGAGGGATAGCGTTAGCAGTTAGCTGGTGAGAGATAGCATTAGCAGTTAGCTGGTGAGAGATAGCGTTAGCTGGTGAGGGATAGCGTTAGCTGGTGAGAGTTAGCATGTGAGGGATAGTGTTAGCAGTTAGCTGGTTAGCGTTAGCAGGTGAGAGATAGTTTTAGCTGTTAGCAGGTGAGGGATAGCGTTAGCAGTTAGCTGGTGAGAGTTAGCATGTGAGGAATAGTGTTAGCAGTTAGCTGGTGAGAGATAGCGTTAGCTGGTGAGAGTTAGCATGTGAGGGATAGTGTTAGCAGTTAGCTGGTGAGCGATAGCGTTAGCTGGTGAGAGTTAGCAGGTGAGGGATAGTGTTAGCAGTTAGCTGGTGATAGATAGCGTTAGCTGGTGAGAGTTAGCAGGTGAGGGATAGTGTTAGCAGTTAGCTGGTGATAGATAGCGTTAGCTGGTGAGGGATAGCGTTAGCAGTTAGCTGGTGAGAGATAGCGTTAGCTGGTGAGGGATAGCGTTAGCAGTTAGCTGGTGAGAGATAGTGTTAGTTAGCATCATGCAAACGCCAGGTACAAAATGATTTCAGATTAACCAAAGTGAGTTTGAGAATCAATCAATATTTTAATTTCAACAAAGGAAGAACAATCTGAGAAAAAATCCATAAATAAGAAATCTGGAATATATTTATATTTACACCATTCAGATTTAAACCCTTAATATCAATTAGACCCTTATAATGTTTCTTCTTCAGGTGTTCACCTCCACCAGGTGCTGCGCTGCAGCTTGGTGACGCAGCTCTTCTCCTGCGGGCTGAAGCTCAGGATGGTGAAGATGGCATTGAGCGTCTGCATGCGTCCGCTGGCGTCCTGCAGCGTGAGGAACTTGTAGGTGACGTTCTTCAGATACTCCATGTTGGCGCCCTCGCGGCTCTGGTCTCGCTGTAGTTTGTCGACGCGTCCTCTCAGCGCGGCCGCCTCCTCTGCGCGCTGCTCTGCGTCAGCGAGCGCTGCGGCCTGCAGGCGGTGCAGCTCGTCCTGAAGCCGGTGCTTCTCTCTCCGCAGAGCGCCAGCCTCCGCCTCCTTCCTGGCCAGCTGCTCTGCGTACAGCAGCAGCGTGGGCTCGCTGGGCGCAGCTCGCCGCAGCGCCACGCTGAGGGCATCGCTGTCGGGCTCCTGCGGGGGGGCAGCGGCTCGCAGCGCCTCCAGCTCCTGCTCTTTCTCCTGCAGCAGCTGCATGGTCCTGCCTCTTTGTTTGTGAAGCTCCGCCTCCAGACGCAGCAGCTGCTCGCGGTGCAGTGCGGCCGCCCGCTCCGCTTCCTGTCTGTGTTGCAGCTGCAGCGCTGCGGCCAGCTGCTGCCGCTCCTCCAGCATGCGGCACTGCACGGCCTCCGCCTCGTCGCTGTGGATCCGCAGGTTGATGTACTTCTCCTTCAGCTCCGACAGCTGGTCCCGGACCTCCTCCAGCTCCTTGGCCTGGCAGCCGTCCTTGGTGTTCTTGTTCTTCAGAACCAGCTGCGCCCGCAGCTTGTATCGCTCAAACTCGTCCCGCAGCGCGCGCAGCTCCTGCTGATAATGCGCCGCCCCCTGGTCCGGCAGGACTTCCTGCTCCGGGTTCCTCTGCTGCAGCAGCTTCTTCACCTTCTCCAGCTTCTCCTTCAGCGCCACCACGTCCAGCTGCTCCTCGCCCTCCGACCTGCCCTCCGTCCTGATGGCGAGCGTCTTGTTCTCCGCTTCCAGCTGCAGGACTTCTTCTCGCAGTCGCTGCGCCGCATGCTGCTCTCGCTGCCTCTGCTTCTCAGACGAGCCCAGCAGCTCCGACAGCTCCGAGACCCGCAGCTCCAGAACCGAGACCCGGTCCTCCGCCGCCTGAGCGCGGTCACGTGACCTCTGCTCCGCCTCACATGACCTCTGCTCCGCCTCGCAGGCCTGCAACACAGGGGGGGGGGGGGGGGGGGGGTAGCCTATCTTTATCTATGCAACACAGGGGGGGGGGGTAGCCTATCTTTATCTATGCAACACGGGGGGGGTAGCCTATCTTTATCTATGAAACACAGGGGGGGGTAGCCTATCTTTATCTATGCAACACAGGGGGGGGGGTAGCCTATCTTTATCTATGCAACACGGGGGGGGGTAGCCTACCTTTATCTATGCAACACAGGGGGGGGGGGTAGCCTACCTTTATCTATGCAACACAGGGGGGGGGGGGGGGGGTAGCCTATCTTTATCTATGCAACACAGGGTTAACCCTAACCCTTAACCCCGGTTAGCTCACCTTCCTGGTCTCGGCGCTGATCTGGTCCTGGATCCTGGTCTTCAGCTGCGTCAGTTCTCTCTGCAGCTGCTCCGCTCGGGGGTCTGGTTTCTTGTGCTCGTCCTCTGCGGCCTGCAGCTTCTTGCTCAGCTCGTCCCTGTCGTCCCTCACCTGCTGCAGGTGTGACTGAGACTCAGCCCCCTCCTGCCGCAGGTCTCTCTCCTGCTGGAGGATCCTCTGCAGCTCTCTCAGCTGCAGCGCGTGGTCGTCCTGCTCCTGCTGCCGCTCGTGTTGCTGCGTGATGATGCGAGCGCGGCTCTCTGCTAGCTGCAGCTGCAGGGCATGAAGCTCCGCCTCCTGCTGCAGCTGCAGGGCGTGAAGCTCCGCCTCCTTGTGCATCTGCAGGGCGTGAAGCTCCGCCTCCTGCTCCTCCACTTCCTGTTTCAGCTGCCGCTTGTCGGCTTGGAAGCTGGCCTCCATGCGGGACTTCTCCTGCGTGACGGTGGCGAGTGCGCTGGTTAGCGTCGTCAGCTGGTTCTTCAGCTGAGCGAGCCGACGCTCCGCCTCCGAGCTGGGAGGGGGCGTGGCCTGCTGCAGAGGCTCCGCCCCCACTCTACTGCTGTCCGAGCCGCCGGCATCTAGGTCGCTCTGCAACGCCTGCAGGAGGAAAAGCATGTTAGACTGCAGCATGACTCAGGGTGAGTTAGCTTGACTCAGAGTAAGTTAGCTTGACTCAGGGTGAGTTAGCTTGACTCAGCGTAAGTTAGCTTGACTCAGTGTTAGTTAGCATGACTCAGCGTAAATTAGCTTGACTCAGGGTAAATTAGCATGACTCAGGGTAAGTTAGCGTAAGTCAGGGTAAGTTAGCTTGACTCAGGGTGAGTTAGCTTGACTCAGGGTGAGTTAGCTTGACTCAGGGTGAGTTAGCTTGACTCAGCGTGAGTTAGCTTGACTCAGCGTGAGTTAGCTTGACTCAGCGTGAGTAAGCATGACTCAGGGTGAGTAAGCTTGACTTAGGGTGAGTTAGCTTGACTCCGGATGAGTTAGCTTGAGTTAGCTTGACTCAGGGTGAGTTAGCATGACTCAGCGTTAGTTAGCATGACTCAGCTTGAGTTAGCATGACTCAGGGTGAGTTAGCTTGACTCAGGGTGTTAGCTTGACTCAGGGTGTTAGCTTGACTCAGGGTGTTAGCTTGACTCAGTGTAAATTAGCATGACTCAGCGTAAATTAGCTTGACTCAGGGTAAGTTAGCTTGACTCAGCGTAAATTAGCTTGACTCAGGGTGAGTTAGCTTGACTCAGGGTGAGTTAGCTTGACTCAGGGTGAGTCAGGGTAAGTTAGCTTGACTCAGGGTGAGTTAGCTAGACTCAGGGTAAGTTAGCTTGACTCATGGTAAGTCAGGGTGAGTTAGCTTGACTCAGGGTGAGTTAGCATGACTCAGCGTAAGTTAGCTTAACTCAGCGTAAGTTACTTGACTCAGCGTAAGTTAGCTTGACTCAGGGTAAGTTAGCTTGACTCAGCGTAAGTTAGCATGACTCATGGTAAGTCAGGGTAAGTTAGCTTGACTCAGGGCGAGTTAGCTTGACTCAGGGTGAGTTAGCTTGACTCAGGGCGAGTTAGCATGACTCAGCGTGAGTTAGCTTGACTCAGGGTGAGTTAGCTTGACTCAGGGTGAGTTAGCTTGACTCATGGTTAGTCAGGGTAAGTTAGCTTGACTCGGGTAAGTCGGGGTAAGTTAGCTTGACTCAGGGTAAGTTAGCATGACTCATGGTAAGTCAGGGTAAGTTAGCTTGACTCAGGGCGAGTTAGCTTGACTCAGGGTGAGTTAGCTTGACTCAGGGCGAGTTAGCATGACTCAGCGTGAGTTAGCTTGACTCAGGGTGAGTTAGCTTGACTCAGGGTGAGTTAGCTTGACTCATGGTTAGTCAGGGTAAGTTAGCTTGACTCGGGTAAGTCGGGGTAAGTTAGCTTGACTCAGGGTGAGTTAGCATGACTCAGGGTGTGTTAGCTTGACTCAGGGTGAGTTAGCTTGACTCAGGGTGAGTTAGCATGACTCAGGGTGAGTTAGCATGACTCAGGGTGAGTTAGCATGACTCAGGGTGAGTTAGCATGACTCAGCGTAAGTTAGCTTGACTCATGGTAACTCAGGGTGAGTTAGCTTAACTCAGGGTGAGTTAGCTTGACTCAGGGTGAGTTAGCTTGACTCAGGGTGAGTTAGCATGACTCAGCGTAAGTTAGCTTGACTCAGCGTAAGTTAGCTTGACTCAGGGTGAGTTAGCATGACTCAGCGTGAGTTAGCTTGACTCAGGGTAAGTTAGCTTGACTCATGGTAAGTCAGGGTAAGTTAGCTTGACTCATGGTAAGTCAGGGTAAGTTAGCTTGACTCAGGGTGAGTTAGCTTGACTCAGGGTGAGTTAGCATGACTCAGGGTGAGTTAGCATGACTCAGGGTAAGTTAGCTTGACTCAGCGTGAGTTAGCTTGACTCAGGGTGAGTTAGCTTGACTCAGGGTGAGTTAGCTTGACTCAGGGTAAGTTAGCATGACTCAGGGTGAGTTAGCATGACTCAGCGTAAGTTAGCTTGACTCAGCGTAAGTTAGCTTGACTCATGGTAACTCAGGGTAAGTTAGCTTGACTCATGGTAACTCAGGGTAAGTTAGCTTGACTCAGGGTGAGTTAGCATGACTCAGCGTAAGTTAGCTTGACTCAGCGTAAGTTAGCTTGACTCAGGGTGAGTTAGCTTGACTCAGGGTGAGTTAGCATGACTCAGCGTGAGTTAGCTTGACTCAGGGTAAGTTAGCTTGACTCATGGTAAGTCAGGGTAAGTTAGCTTGACTCAGGGTGAGTTAGCATGACTCAGGGGTGAGTTAGCATGACTCAGCGTAAGTTAGCTTGACTCAGCGTGAGTTAGCTTGACTCAGGGTGAGTTAGCATGACTCAGCGTAAGTTAGCTTGACTCAGGGTGAGTTAGCTTGACTCAGGGTGAGTTAGCTTGACTCAGGGTGAGTTAGCATGACTCAGCGTAAGTTAGCTTGACTCAGGGTGAGTTAGCATGACTCAGCGTGAGTTAGCTTGACTCAGGGTAAGTTAGCTTGACTCATGGTAAGTCAGGGTAAGTTAGCTTGACTCAGGGTGAGTTAGCTTGACTCAGGGTGAGTTAGCATGACTCAGCGTAAGTTTGCTTGACTCAGCGTGAGTTAGCTTGACTCAGGGTGAGTTAGCTTGACTCAGGGTGAGTTAGCTTGACTCAGGGTGAGTTAGCATGACTCAGCATAAGTTAGCTTGACTCAGCGTAAGTTAGCTTGACTCAGGGTGAGTTAGCTTGACTCAGCAGGTTGGTAGTTTTGATAATAATGAAATCTCACCGCGGCTGGTTCCCCCGGCTGGTCCTCGCTCTCCTCCGCAGACGCTGCTGTGTCCAGGCTGTCCTCGCTGTGCAGCGAGCAGCCGTCCTCTTGGGGGGGTCCTGAGGGGGGGGGTCCTCCATGGTGGTCCTGCTGTGAGACGCTCAGCACCGTCAGGCTGGCCTCCAGAGCCTCCTTCTCCTTCAGAAGGCTCTTATAGGCTCGCACCACGTCCTTAAAGCGGCTCTGGTACTGTAGCAGCTGCTTCCTCTGAGTCTCCACCGTCTCCTGCAGCTCCTTCCTGCCTGGACCAAAGCCCAGCTTCTCCATCACAGCGCTGTGCGCATCCTGAGACACCAATACACATTATAACACATGAATACACTTTATAATACACATTATCATACACATTAATGCACATTAAAACACATTATAATACACATTAAAGGTCTCCAATCATGCAAAACTCCCTTTCTGATGTCTTCTCTACATCACCATGTGTCCCCGTGTGTCAGGAGACTCTCAAAGTGATGTCTCCTCTACATCACCATGTGTCCCCGCTGTGTCCCCCGTGTGTCCCCGGTGTGTCAGGAGACTCTCAAAGTGATGTCTCCTCTACATCACCATGTGTCCCCGCTGTGTCCCCGTGTGTCAGGAGACTCTCAAAGTGATGTCTCCTCTACATCACCATGTGTCCCCGCTGTGTCCCCGTGTGTCAGGAGACTCTCAAAGTGATGTCTCCTCTACATCACCATGTGTCCCCGCTGTGTCCCCCGTGTGTCCCCCGTGTGTCAGGAGACTCTCAAAGTGATGTCTTCTCTACATCACCATGTGTCCCCCGTGTGTCCCTGTGTGTCAGGAGACTCTCAAAGTGATGTCTCCTCTACATCACCATGTGTCCCCTGTGTGTCCCCGGTGTGTCCCTGTGTGTCAGGAGACTCTCAAAGTGATGTCTCCTCTACATCACCATGTGTCCCCGGTGTGTCCCTCGTGTGTCAGGAGACTCTCAAAGTGTCAGGAACAAACCCCTCTCTCTTCTCCTCCGTACCCACGTCTCTAAAAACGGGGAACAACGGAGCTGATCCAGATTTGCTGCGTCATGACCACATTACTAAAATGTGGGCGGGCTTTACCCCCACGGGCCAATCAGAAGTGTTGCTGTCAGAAACAATGAGACATGTTCTGGAAGTGATATGGTCTGTGTTTACATTAGCATGCTAACACTCAGAGCTAACCTGTGCTGGAGAGAGTGTGTGTGAAGAAGCAGGAAATCAAAAGGAAGTCACCTTGTGGTAAACCTGAGAGAGAGAAAGAGTTTGAGCTCCATCCTGTTTCAGAGAGAATCCTTGATGTGGTTTGGAACATGATGACACTTGTCGTTATTACACTTCTTCTTCATCACCTTAATGCTGCAGCTGGTGGAGCTCTTTAATCAATATCTATATCATATATTAGTTGATAAATGAATGATAGATAAGTTAATCTGGTTATAATAATAAAGAGTTCCTTACCGTGAGTCCCGCGCTCTCTCAGCTCCAACACGCGGTGTCTATGAACAGACCCGTCGCTCTTTCTCACAGCGTTTATCCTGAAAACTGAGGATATTAAAAGAAACACTCAGACCACCGAGGAACATCCGCCATGTTGCTCTGAACCGGAAGTGAGGAGGAACCGGTGCTACGTTCACTGTAGTCGGGACAAACCGGACGATGATCTTAAACATAATAAATATAATTAAAAGTATTTTGTTTATTTTATTTGTTTACCAACTCCAGATACTAATACTTTAAATATGTAATATCAAAATACTTTAATATGCTTTCTACGTCACTATTAATTTGTTAGCCATGGTTGCGTCCAGCTGGGAAGAGACCAAGGGGTAGACCTAGGACCAGGTGGAGGGATTATATCTCTTCGCTGGCCTGGGAGCGCCTTGGGATCCCCCAGTCAGAGCTGGTTGATGTCGCCAGGGAAAAGAAAGTTTGGGGCTCTCTGCCACAACTGCTACCCCCCGCGACCCGACCACGGATAAGCGGGAGAAGATGGATGGATGGATGGTTGTGTACTGTATTTGTTTATATTTATATTATATTATTTCATGCCTTTATTTTAATTTTATGATTATTTATTATATTAATAATATGTGCTTTTCTTTCTTATCATTTGTATTTTTGATGATTATTTATTGTATTTTAACTGCTATGCCCCTCACTGTAACACTACACATCCCTTCTGTGGGACGAATCCAGGAGTTCTGATTTTGTGTGAGGCCCTGAACGCGGCACTGTTGTGTGTCAGATGCGTGACGTCATTAGTTCCCCGTTGGCCTCGACGTGGCACCGAGAGGAGAGAGGATCCGGGTCTGAGTGAGCTCTGTTTACCCCCTGACCCCGGCTGATTACTGGCTGTTTACCGGCTCCTCTTTCTCCCCCGCAGGCTCCTACCCCCCGCCGCTGATACGGGACTCTAACGATGGGGCTGACCATCTCCTCGCTGTTCTCCCGGTTCTTCGGGAAGAAGCAGATGCGGATCCTGATGGGTGAGAGCAGGCTAACAAGCTAACAGGCTAACAGCTTAACTGTCAGTGACATCAACTACAGTAACTCTGAGGCTAGGCTAACAGGCTAACTGTCAGTGACATCGACTACAGTAACTCTGAGGCTAACAGCTAACAGGCTAACTGTCAGTGACATCGACTACAGTAACTCTGAGGCTAAGCTAACAGGCTAACTGTCAGTGACATCGACTACAGTAACTCTGAGGCTAAGCTAACAGGCTAACTGTCAGTGACATCGACTACAGTAACTCTGAGGCTAAGCTAACAGGCTAACTGTCAGTGACATCAACTACAGTAACTCTGAGGCTAGGCTAACAGGCTAACTGTCAGTGACATCGACTACAGTAACTCTGAGGCTAACAGCTAACAGGCTAACTGTCAGTGACATCGAGTACAGACACTCTGAGGCTAGGCTAACAGCTAACAGCTATTTTACATACCGTTTTCTGTTGGTAAAGTTGGTTTTCTTTGTTGAATTGTGTGTCTGTTTCAGTGGGTCGGTTGTGTGTAATTAAAGTGTGTGTGTAATTAAAGTGTGTGTGTGGGTGTGTTTCAGTGGGTCTGTTGTGTGTAATTAAAGTGTGTGTGTGTGTGTGTGTGTGTGTGTGTTTTCAGTGGGTCTGGACGCAGCAGGCAAAACGACAATCCTCTACAAACTCAAGCTGGGAGAGATCGTCACCACCATCCCAACCATCGGTCAGTACACACAGGAAGTAACACACAATACATAAACAACAAGTACACTAACTGTGTGTGTGTGTGTGCAGGCTTTAACGTAGAGACGGTGGAGTATAAGAACATCTGCTTCACGGTGTGGGACGTGGGGGGGCAGGACAAGATCCGCCCTCTGTGGAGACACTACTTCCAGAATACACAGGTACTACATCTAATACTGTACACCACTAAACAGTGTGTATTGAGCTCTAATGAGAGTGTGGTGCGTTCAGGGTCTGATCTTCGTGGTAAACAGTGTGTATTGAGCTCTAATGAGAGTGTGTGTGGTGCGTTCAGGGTCTGATCTTCGTGGTAAACAGTGTGTATTGAGCTCTAATGAGAGTGTGGTGCGTTCAGGGTCTGATCTTCGTGGTAAACAGTGTGTATTGAGCTCTAATGAGAGTGTGTGTGGTGCGTTCAGGGTCTGATCTTCGTGGTAAACAGTGTGTATTGAGCTCTAATGAGAGTGTGGTGCGTTCAAGATCTTCGTGGTAAACAGTGTGTATTGAGCTCTAATGAGTGTGTATGTGGTGCGTTCAGGATCTTCGTGGTAAACAGTGTGTATTGAGCTCTAATGAGTGTGTGTGTGGTGCGTTCAGGGTCTGATCTTCGTGGTAAACAGTGTGTATTGAGTTCTAATGAGTGTGTGTGTGGTGCGTTCAGGGTCTGATCTTCGTGGTAAACAGTGTGTATTGAGCTCTAATGAGTGTGTGTGGTGCGTTCAGGGTCTGATCTTCGTGGTAAACAGTGTGTATTGAGCTCTAATGAGAGTGTGTGTGGTGCGTTCAGGGTCTGATCTTCGTGATAAACAGTGTGTATTGAGCTCTAATGAGAGTGTGTGTGGTGCGTTCAGGGTCTGATCTTCGTGGTAAACAGTGTGTATTGAGCACTAATGAGAGTGTGTGAGGTGCGTTCAGGGTCCTGATCTTCGTGGTAAACAGTAGCCTCATCCCAATACCCCTCCTCGACTCCTCCTTTCACTCACTCGCGTCCCTTCCTTGCATCTTAGCTCCGCCTCCGTAAGATGCGAGCGAGAGACACGAGGAGGGTGACGCGAGGACAGAGGAGTCCTCAGGTATTATTTGGGACGTCCTCGTTCACTCAAACGTCACACTTAAACGACATCTGTTAATGATGCCATGTGCACAGCTGTATCCCCTCTCATCGGGCTGACTGAAGAACCCTTAGAACCGGCCCATTTCTGGTTACATATTTATTTAAATGAATCTTTCTCTTGTTAGTCAAGGAACTCAATGTGTGATGGTTGGTCCTGCTTTTGCGTTCCGTGTTGGTGTGAAATGTAGCCTACATTTAAATACAAATATAATGATAGTAATGTGAAAGCCTTCTAGAAATGAATTGCACATAATAATTCCCACGGAGCTGTGAGCACTGAGACATTTATGTGACGCTTTTCCACTCATCTTCCAGTTGTGGGTTTTCCTCTGTTGAAATGGACCAGCTGTGAAGGAGGGGGCGGGGCTTTTATATGCGAGTAGTGAAAACACTTCCGCAGTCTGCTCGCGTGTATCCTCCCTTTCGTCTCCTCCCTCACCCCTCCTCCCTCACCCCTCCTCCCTCCTCGACTCCTCCGTGTGCATTTCAGCTATTGGGACGTCCTTCAAAATGGGGTGTCTTGATCGATTTCCGGGTCAAGTCCTGGAGGAGGGAAAGAGAGGAGTCAGGGATGAGGCTAGTGTTAATTGAGCTCTAATGAGTGTGGTGCGTTCAGGGTCTGATCTTTGTGGTAAACAGTGTGTATTGAGCTCTAATGAGAGTGTGGTGCGTTCAGGATCTGATCTTTGTGGTAAACAGTGTGTATTGAGCTCTAATGAGTGTGTGTGTGTGGTGCGTTCAGGGTCTGATCTTAGTGGTAAACAGTGTGTATTGAGCTCTAATGAGAGTGTGTGTGGTGCGTTCAGGATCTGATCTTCGTGGTAAACAGTGTGTATTGAGCTCTAATGAGAGTGTGGTGCGTTCAGGATCTTAGTGGTAAACAGTGTGTATTGAGCTCTAATGAGAGTGTGTGTGGTGCGTTCAGGGTCTGATCTCCGTGGTAAACAGTGTGTATTGAGCTCTAATGAGTGTGTGTGTGGTGCGTTCAGGGTCTGATCTTCGTGGTAAACAGTGTGTATTGAGCTCTAATGAGAGTGTGTGAGGTGCATTCAGGGTCTGATCTTCGTGGTGGACAGTGTGTATTGAGCTCTAATGAGTGTGTGTGTGGTGCGTTCAGGGTCTGATCTTTGTGGTAAACAGTGTGTATTGAGCTCTAATGAGAGTGTGGTGCGTTCAGGGTCTGATCTTCGTGGTAAACAGTGTGTATTGAGCTCTAATGAGAGTGTGGTGCGTTCAAGGTCTGATCTTCGTGGTAAACAGTGTGTATTGAGCTCTAATGAGAGTGTGTGTGGTGCGTTCAGGGTCTGATCTTCGTGGTAAACAGTGTGTATTGAGCTCTAATGAGAGTGTGGTGCGTTCAAGATCTTCGTGGTAAACAGTGTGTATTGAGCTCTAATGAGAGTGTGTGTGGTGCGTTCAGGGTCTGATCTTCATGGTAAACAGTGTGTATTGAGCTCTAATGAGAGTGTGGTGCGTTCAAGGTCTGATCTTAGTGGTAAACAGTGTGTATTGAGCTCTAATGAGAGTGTGTGGTGCGTTCAGGGTCTGATCTTTGTGGTAAACAGTGTGTATTGAGCTCTAATGAGAGTGTGGTGCGTTCAGGGTCTGATCTTCGTGGTAAACAGTGTGTATTGAGCTCTAATGAGAGTGTGTGGTGCGTTCAGGGTCTGATCTTCGTGGTAAACAGTGTGTATTGAGCTCTAATGAGAGTGTGGTGCATTCAAGGTCTGATCTTAGTGGTAAACAGTGTGTATTGAGCTCTAATGAGAGTGTGTGTGGTGCGTTCAGGGTCTGATCTTCATGGTAAACAGTGTGTATTGAGCTCTAATGAGAGTGTGGTGCGTTCAGGGTCTGATTTTCCTGGTAAACAGTGTGTATTGAGCTCTAATGAGTGTGTGGTACGTTCAGGGTCTGATCTTTGTGGTAAACAGTGTGTATTGAGCTCTAATGAGTGTGTATGTGGTGCGTTCAGGATCTTCGTGGTAAACAGTGTGTATTGAGCTCTAATGAGTGTGTGTGTGGTGCGTTCAGGGTCTGATCTTCGTGGTAAACAGTGTGTATTGAGTTCTAATGAGTGTGTGTGTGGTGCGTTCAGGGTCTGATCTTCGTGGTAAACAGTGTGTATTGAGCTCTAATGAGTGTGTGTGTGGTGCGTTCAGGGTCTGATCTTCGTGGTAAACAGTGTGTATTGAGCTCTAATGAGAGTGTGTGTGGTGCGTTCAGGGTCTGATCTTCGTGATAAACAGTGTGTATTGAGCTCTAATGAGAGTGTGTGTGGTGCGTTCAGGGTCTGATCTTCGTGGTAAACAGTGTGTATTGAGCACTAATGAGAGTGTGTGAGGTGCGTTCAGGGTCTGATCTTCGTGGTAAACAGTAGCCTCATCCCAATACCCCTCCTCGACTCCTCCTTTCACTCACTCGCGTCCCTTCCTTGCATCTTAGCTCCGCCTCCGTAAGATGCGAGCGAGAGACACGAGGAGGTGACGCGAGGACAGAGGAGTCCTCAGGTATTATTTGGGACGTCCTCGTTCACTCAAACGTCACACTTAAACGACATCTGTTAATGATGCCATGTGCACAGCTGTATCCCCTCTCATCGGGCTGACTGAAGAACCCTTAGAACCGGCCCATTTCTGGTTACATATTTATTTAAATGAATCTTTCTCTTGTTAGTCAAGGAACTCAATGTGTGATGGTTGGTCCTGCTTTTGCGTTCCGTGTTGGTGTGAAATGTAGCCTACATTTAAATACAAATATAATGATAGTAATGTGAAAGCCTTCTAGAAATGAATTGCACATAATAATTCCCACGGAGCTGTGAGCACTGAGACATTTATGTGACGCTTTTCCACTCATCTTCCAGTTGTGGGTTTTCCTCTGTTGAAATGGACCAGCTGTGAAGGAGGGGGCGGGGCTTTTATATGCGAGTAGTGAAAACACTTCCGCAGTCTGCTCGCGTGTATCCTCCCTTTCGTCTCCTCCCTCACCCCTCCTCCCTCACCCCTCCTCCCTCCTCGACTCCTCCGTGTGCATTTCAGCTATTGGGACGTCCTTCAAAATGGGGTGTCTTGATCGATTTCCGGGTCAAGTCCCGGAGGAGGGAAAGAGAGGAGTCGAGGGATGAGGCTAGTGTTAATTGAGCTCTAATGAGTGTGGTGCGTTCAGGGTCTGATCTTTGTGGTAAACAGTGTGTATTGAGCTCTAATGAGAGTGTGGTGCGTTCAGGATCTGATCTTTGTGGTAAACAGTGTGTATTGAGCTCTAATGAGTGTGTGTGTGTGGTGCGTTCAGGGTCTGATCTTAGTGGTAAACAGTGTGTATTGAGCTCTAATGAGAGTGTGTGTGGTGCGTTCAGGATCTGATCTTCGTGGTAAACAGTGTGTATTGAGCTCTAATGAGAGTGTGGTGCGTTCAGGATCTTAGTGGTAAACAGTGTGTATTGAGCTCTAATGAGAGTGTGTGTGGTGCGTTCAGGGTCTGATCTCCGTGGTAAACAGTGTGTATTGAGCTCTAATGAGTGTGTGTGTGGTGCGTTCAGGGTCTGATCTTCGTGGTAAACAGTGTGTATTGAGCTCTAATGAGAGTGTGTGAGGTGCGTTCAGGGTCTGATCTTCGTGGTGGACAGTGTGTATTGAGCTCTAATGAGTGTGTGTGTGGTGCGTTCAGGGTCTGATCTTTGTGGTAAACAGTGTGTATTGAGCTCTAATGAGAGTGTGGTGCGTTCAGGGTCTGATCTTCGTGGTAAACAGTGTGTATTGAGCTCTAATGAGTGTGTGTGTGTGGTGCGTTCAGGGTCTGATCTTAGTGGTAAACAGTGTGTATTGAGCTATAATGAGTGTGTGGTGCATTCAGGATCTGATCTTCGTGGTAAACAGTGTGTATTGAGCTCTAATGAGAGTGTGTGTGGTGCGTTCAGGGTCTGATCTTAGTGGTAAACAGTGTGTATTGAGCTCTAATGAGAGTGTGTGTGGTGCGTTCAGGGTCTGATCTTCGTGGTAAACAGTGTGTATTGAGCTCTAATGAGTGTGTGTGTGGTGCGTTCAGGGT